AATATATATACTTTAAACCTCTATCTGCTTGTGAAATTTAGGCAATGGCATTTAATCAAAATTTTGTTGGGCCATCTAAATATATACAATAAAAGTTATTTATTACTCAACAAAATTATAAACAATGAATAAAAACATCTAAAAAAAAGTCTTTTGTGGTATAGCAAACCTTCATCACATCACCTTTCAGCATCACAACAAAAATCATTCAAAGGCCAGAAATTTTTCTTGTAGAATTTCTATTTGTAATAATAATAAATAATGGATATCTTAATTGGATATTCAAAATTAATTACATATAAACATTTATTTGAATAGAAACTTTAAACAATAAATAATAAATAACACTGGTGATGAGGTCATTATCATAAAGCATTCCTCTAAATTAACAGACTAAAAATTTTTTTTTCAATTTTCTTTAGATGTAAATGCGTAAATAATATAAATATTATTATTATTACTATTTTTAATGTCAATAATACTTACATTATTTATTAATTAATTTTGTTAATATTTGGCAAATCCACTTGGAAGAAATTTTTTTATCTGGAAGTGCTTTTGGAATGAACATTTGAGTTGAGAGAATATTTTGTTGGAAGGTTTTCAATAAAACGATTTACATACATACTGTATGCAAATTAAAATTTCTAATCTTCACTTATTTGGATGATGAAAATTATGACTTTTGGTATGTGCAATATATTTTTATAATGAAATTGTTCCTTATTTTGACTGATGCATTAAATTTCTATTCTTTATCCACTTGTAATTGTTGATAAAGATTTGGTCATGTTCATGAGCTGGGCTACTTTTTTTGGGGAGAAAAATTTGGAGCAACTTCAAAAAATTATTACTCTTTATTTTATATGTTGAGCTAACATTGTTTTTACATATTAACAATTTCCAAATATACACGCTTTAAACCTTCATATGCTTGTGAAATTAGATGGATGGATGGCATTTGATCAAAAATTTGTTAAGCTATCTCAAAATAATTATAATATTATATTTATACTTATATCTATGCTACTACATGAACAAAAACATTTAAAGAAATCTTTTATAATTGTGGCATAGCAAGAAAACCTTTATCACGTTACCCTCCAGTATTACAACAACAAAAAAAATATTAAAATCATTCAACTTTGTCAAACGTCAGAAATTTTTCTTAATATCCTTTATTTGAATAGAAACTTTGAAACAATAAATAACAAGTAACACAAGTGGCAAAGTCACTGCCATAAAACATTCATCTAGTTTCTAAAATAACAATTAATCATTATTTTTTAATTTGAGGAACAAATAAAAATCTATTTGGTGTACCCGCTGGTAATTCTTGAATAATATTTTTGGTACTTGCAACAAATAATCTTTCAGCCATTCTTTCAGGACTATGATTACCAAAAGCACTGATTTTTAAAGCAACAACACCCGCAACTAGTGGAGATGAAAGGCTTGTACCAGATTCTTGGTCAGATATGAGGCCAAAGTTAAGCACAGGAACATCTACACCAGGAGCACAAATGTCAACGCAAGGTCCAAAATTTGAGAAGTCAGCAATAGTATCACTTGACTTTTGAGTTGCACATGTTGTAATTGCTGATGGTGCACTTGCAGGTGAGGTATTGCAAGCATCTTCCGCAGAATTTCCGGCAGCTACGATAACATGTATACCTGCATCTGTAAGATCTTTGACTGCACTGTTCATTGCTTCAAAACGTCCACCACCCAATGACATATTAACAACTGTCTTTTTGTTATTGTTTGCTAAATGTTCACCTAATATAAATGATAAGCCAGCAATAATATTTGTAAAACTTCCTTCCCCTGACCCATCAAATACTTTGACTGCTATAAGTTTGACTTTTTTCGCTACACCAAAATGGATACCACCAATAACACTTGCGACTGCTGAGCCATGACCATTATCATCCGTATCAGCACATCCAGGACAAAAAGAACCACCATGTCTAGCACGATCACCAAATTCTGGTGAAGCTGTATTTATACCAGTGTCAACCACATAGACGTTTACATCTTCACCAGCTGGGGTAGGATAATGGAATTTTCCATCTAATATATTATTTCTTTGATCTATACGATCCAAGTCATAAAATGAAGTCTTTTCAGTTGTTTTATGACCATTATTTTGTATAGCAGCAAAAATTTTAGCTTTTGATACCTTTTCGACTATTTTAACATTAGGGAATGTTTTAATTTGTTGTTTAACTAATCGAGGATTAAAAAAACCAACATAGCCAAAAATGCTGCCACCAGAAAAATGCAATACTGTATTTGAAGAAGATTTCTTTGTTGTAATTTTCCCATTATTTTTACCGTAAAATGGTTTAGAATCCATTCCCATGCAGTTTTCAAAAAAATCCAAATGTTGTTTAAGAATTGCCGTATTTCCTGAACCAGAAGCAGTGGAGGTTGATCCTTTTTTATGTTCAAGCAAGACCACAAATTCTTCTTTATTTATATTGAATTCTTTACTTGAAACACTTTTAGTACACTTGATTTTAGCTGAATCGACCAAAACAGCCGAAAGCAACAATGAAACCAAATATAACGTAGTGGCAACTGAATAAATTTTAGAAGCAATCATTTTGTTTATGATTATTTGTTTTTCTTTAGAATAAATATTATGATTGATTTATAAAGTGAAAAGAGTGAAGCGGATGCCCAATTACTGAGGCGAAGGAATTGTATGTGGTGAAAAGAATGAAGTGAGGTGAATGTTAATGAGTATTAATGAAAATGGATTGGCGAGGATGAATTGATTTATGAGAAGAGTGGAAGGAGAAAAAATTGGATAGAGAAGGAATTCATTAAAAAAAAGTAAGCAATACTTATATAAAATACGAATATGCACAACATAGTAAGAAAAATATAAATATTTATTCATCCAACAAAATCTATTGGAAATTTTACTAACAAACATTAATATCTTCGATATACATTGTATTTGCATATTTGTTTATGGTTATGAAAATGAATTCAATCACACGTTTTTATTAAGACGACTGAATATAGTAATAAAACTATTTTGAATAAAAATAAACAAAAGAAACGAATTAAATTGATCGATTATGAAAAGAAAGACATCTATTAAAAAAAGAAGTATGCTTACGAACTTCCCTCAACATTTATAATAATGATGATATATATATTTTTTTTTTGCAGATTCGCGCGCATATGTTAAGAATTATTTCATAGATAACTGATTTAAAATTTCAGCCTCTGGTAGCTCAATAAGAAACTATCGATTAATGACAATGTGTGGACATTGATAATAAGTTAAAATTGAAACGACAATGAATTTAAACATGTGCTAGAAAATGGAATTGCAACCTTTTCTTTTTTTACTAATTTTCCGTATTTTTATTATTTGGATATTTAAATAAGTTTGAAAGTTGGGAAGGACATAAAAAATTTCAATATTTAAAGATGCTATTTGATAAATTAAATGGCGTAACTAACTTGCAATGAAACATCTTGCAGTACACGAGAGACAGTTTAACCTTTATGCATAATAACATGACAGTTGTTATCAGAATTGTGATGTAAGTAAAAACAAAACACTCGAATAAAAAATCACGACTCAAGCAAAAAATTATGAATGACTGATGTAAAGTTTCAACGAAGTTTTTATTTAATACAAGCATTTGTTGGTGTACGGTGCAGATCATCTATAATCATTAATTGCTTATCAATACAAATTAAAAAAAAGTACCTTGGTTAGTTATTAACACGTATTCTTTAGGAGACCCAAACCAAACCAAACAACATCACTCACGTTTTGTCACCTTGGGCTCTGCCAAAAAATAAATTGTTAATTGTTTTTACAAAAAAAAAAAAAAAAAATCAATCAATTCCCCCAAAAAAAAAAACCAATAGTAGTCGCGGAACATTGCAGATCAAGTGTCATTCAATATAAACGTTACACGAATAAAATTATTATCGTCCACTTCAAAAAAAAAAATCTCCGTTTTTCATGTAACAAGCGATTTTCAACCATAATAATTTTTTTAGAGCCAGACCGGGGCTTTTAACAACATTTAAAAGAAAAGACTAGCTTAAATATTGGTTATTATACGCCAGGTCGAAAGCGTTTCTTTTCTTCACGCTTATTTTAAAAACAAAAAAAAAAATAACACATTTTTTTGCAAAGTCGGCATTATCTTTTTGATAATTTGAGTTCAAGAATTACTAGAATTACTTTTCAGTATTTGTCCTGAAGAATTTATTCCTATTTGCAAAGAAAAATAGTCATAATAATATTATTAGATATGTTTTTTTTAAAAACTAAAAAAAAAAATGTATATTAATAGCATTTTGGAAACAAATACACTGGTATACCAATGATTGAATTTATTACGTTTTTTTTTTGTTTTTTAGCTTCATGGAGACTATTATTTATTCTTCCTCATCTGAGGAGGAGGAGGAGGAGGAGGAATCATTTATTTCAGAACGTTTGGCAAGCAAAGAAATGCGTAAAAAAAGTAATTTAATTTTCCATTTTTCAGATATTTTCAAGGTTGTACAAATCAAAAATTTAATTTCTGAGGATAAATTTATTCATTTAATCTTAATCAAATCAAAATTTAATTTCTGAGGACGCCCATTCCGCACATTGAATTTTATACACTAGTACTAGCACTATCTCAATTTACCTTATTTTTTCCAATATGTTTGCTGCTTTACAAAAAATACAATCACAAATATGGAATTAATATTCCGTCATAAGATTCACCCATTTATGGAAATTCTAGATGATCTTCTTCCTGCATTAGGGTTAACCTGTAATTTTACTCGTTTTAAGCTTGCGGTCATACAGTTGTGAGTTACCTGCCAACAAATTTTCAAAACCAAAAACAAGTGTCATTCGTACTTTATAAAATTCACAATTTTTGCAGTAAATTGCTTAAATCCTGATTCACGCAATTTCTGATTATTAGAACTAACCTAAATTGGTATTATCACAGTTAAAAAAAAAGATGTCCTTTGCAGGTTCCACGAACAAATCTTCTTGTCCAAACTCTATAATAAAAATGTGGGTTCTTCTTGAGGGGAAACCAAAGGCTATAAAATTGAAAGCTGATTTATCTGAAGCCAAAGACTTGGAAGATTTCATACCTATTCTCAAGAGAGAGTTTGAAGAGTTGAAAAACATTAAAAATCAAAATATCGTATTCTTAGATAACAACAACAACACACTTATTCCACCAGACACTTGTTTATAAACTCTAGCATGCAATACAACAGCTAGAACGCCACTTCTTGTTCGTTACTCACTCTCAAATGCAAACAGTAAATGAGGTTTTTATTTTCTTGGTTTTGTTTTTCCCACTTAAAATATGTACTTATTAGTTTCCGTCAATTATTTGCATTGTTCAGGTAAATGTAATATACCACATACCGGTGGTTCCTTAAGTTTGTTGTGAGAAGAAGTCTAAAAAGATTTAAGGAGATACAGACAGAAGAATTCTACTTTTTCAATGATGAAACAAAAGAAGAGATTCGGAATGAGTATAGCTTTAACACTCTAGCATCTCAGACTGAACTAAATGGTAACAACTATAATCTTAAGCTAAAAGTCAAAGTCGAGGGTAAAAAATCTTATAGAGATTGGGAACTAAAGGATGTGTTTAAGGAAATATTACGATGGGATTATAAATCTCTTGGTGGTATCCCAAGATTCAACTTGAACGACCTACTCTCATTAGAGCACCCATTTACTGAGAACGAATTAAAAAGTTTTGTTGATGAACTTTAAAAACACTTAATGCATTCAAGAAAGAACTCGGCATCAATAAGGCGACAGCTCATGAATATATTTCTACCTTCATGAAAACTGCGGTTTGCCATATACAAGACCACATAAACAAATCAGCACAATTGAGCATGAAAATAGAATTGGAAGGAAGTCGTGAGTATGGCCCTGTAGACTACATGGTAGTTACTGTTAAAATTTTGGTGCTGTTATGTGAAGCAAAAGCGGAAAATATGAACAAGGGAACAGCCCAGGTTCTTGTGCAAATGCACAGTGCAATAGAACAACAATTGGATAAACACAAGCATGGCCAAATGGAACAAGCGATGTTTGGAATAGTTACAACTGGAAAATTATGGCGATTTGTCCGTTGGACCGGATCATTAGAAGAACCGACAGTTCATATTTCTGAAGAGTACACTTGCAATTTTAAGGGTAACATGGAACCTGAGAAGGAAATGTCAAGATATATTGTTCAGAGATTACAAGCCCAAGCTATGGCATTTGGTGTTGATGATAAGGACAGTGGCCATCCTTCAAAACGTCAATGTACTATTTTCATTTTTGCATGTATTTTTTTTTTTTTATTAAAGGTAGTTGTAATACATGAAAATAATAAAGATTTCACCCAAATTGGGATTTGATTTTTTTTAACGGTATGCTTTTATGTGTGTGAAGTGGTGTGCAGGGCTGGAAATAGTACTTTAAAAATCCGGATTTTTCTTTTAAAATTTTTAACTTCCAGAAAAAAAAAGAGTTGCCAGGAATCACTTATAAAGTATCTAGAAAAGGATCTAGTAGAGCAGCGCGAGTTTTTCAGAAAAGAATGCAATAGATGCCATAAAAGAGAAAGATTGCGAGTTTTCGCCTGTACACATCATACACATCATTAATTGATGTAAGTCAAATTGATCACAAATAGGTAATAAAATTGGTTTATTATTTTATATACTACTAAAGTTTGTCCTAATAGGAAAGGCCTGTTGTTGAGGTTATCTGCCATCTGGTATGGAACAAGCACTACAGAGTGTTTGGCGATTGGAAATGTTTGAATTGTCGAAAAAAATGGGTAAGCGCCTATACATGGATGTCCCTTCAAAAGTTTATGGATAAAACACCGGCAAATAATTTGATGCAGGAAGATTTTTACATGCAAAAGTGCAACCGCTGCCATGAAAATGATGAGGATAAAGCCACAAAAAGCACGATCTGAAAATATGAACATCTAGAATTGTCGGATACTGATGGACCTCACAAGAGCCGGTTATGTGCAAAGTGTCAACACGGAGAATACTGTACTCAGGTCAGCATTTATTTTGGCCGTCGCTGAACGGATATTATACTAAAATAAATATATTGACAAATAGGAATAACTTAATTAGTTATTCATTTTCTAAATTCAACTGATGTGACATAAAACATCAAGTAAGTGATAATACGTTTAAATTTGATATTTTTTATTTTTTATGGTGTGATCAATGATATAATAGAGACCATCCTTCAAAGAAGTTTTGAAGTAGATACAATTTCAGTACGTGTTTCTGTTGAAGAGATTATCCCAGCGCTCAGAAACAAACAAGTTAACACCGTTCGGTTAGTAGTGCATTCACAAGGCTGTGTTATAGCAAATTTGGTTTTGAGAAGACTATATCTGGAATTAAGCTACACGGGTGAACAAAATTTTCTCAATAAACTAGAGGTTTACACATTTGGAAGTGCATCTAGAGAATTCACAAACCCAGGAAACTTGATTAAACGCATCGAACACTATGCAAATGACCAAGATCCTATTGCAATGTTAGGTGTTCTTAGTGAAATCAATAACCCACGTTATAACGGCGAGGTTTTTGTCAATTATACAAAGAACAATGGTAAAGGACATTCGTTCATCAAGTTTTACAGTCTAAATGAATATGATTATAGAACCCTAAGAAGTGACAAGGATGGTATTCCTACATTTTTGCAACTTAATGGACATATAAATCCTAATCTGCAAATTATCGAAAAATAACTTTATTAGCATTAATATTAACACTTGTTTTAAATATATAATTTTTATTAAATATAACATTTTTTATTATTATTTTACTATTATATACCATTATTTTTTTAATATTTGTAATATTAATAGACCATTACTGACTGCTAATTTATTTTTTAACAAAATTTCCCGTTGATCATCTCAATGACCACTATTTTTAATGCCACTATAAAATCACATGACCCAAACGGTTAGCAATAACATTCCTTCTGCAATAGCTAAACTCACTAGGATAACTACAAAAGAAAAATGAACAATAAATGTAAAATATACTCTATGTTTGCTATTTTTAATTTAACATGATTTTATTATAATTAGCACAACAAATTATAATTAATAAATTTTTGTTGTATGGTAAATAAAGAAAACCTTGGCATTTTTTAACCAATGCCCAAATAATAATCATATGAAACCGAGGGTCTTCTGAAGCAATAATTCATGACGCGGGGCATAATTCGTGATTCAAAGCATAAATTGTGACACAAGACATATAGTTTGTGATGCGAAGCATAGTTTGTTATTATAATAATAAGGGAAGACCCTAGTTGTAATCAGCAAAAATTATGTATTTTATCCTATTTGACGAAAA